AAAAAGATTTTTCTTCCAAGTTATATTTTAAAACTATATACAGACCAAATTAAAAGTGGGTTATAATTTATGGTTAAAACTAAGACCAGACTTAAAGAAAGTGATCACAGGCCCAAATTTTGCACTAAATTTAGAATTAAAGTACTATAACTTAAATTTTGATAATTAAAATGGTAACAAATTTTTAATCTAATTTTTTATGTGTGCATATTTAATACAAATAGCCAATAGGTTGTGCAAATGGCAAAATATATTTTTTTAATATTTCTACTGAGAAATTGAAAAATGACCATTGTAAAAGGTAGTGGTGGTACTACATTTTACAAGTTTTTCAATTTTGTTTAGGTGGTATGCATTAATCAAAACCATTGAGACTGCTACTATAGACAATTTGTCTTACTTTCCTTTTGGTCAGCAATTAATCAAAAGGAAAAACTATAGAACCTTGATATGTAACTTAAGTATATTAAAGATAAAAGAATGCAAGATACCTAGATATACTGCATTAAAGAGTGTACAGTCAAAAGTCGTTAATCCGGACTCGTCGGGACTTCGGTGATTCCGGATTATCGATTTTTCTGGATAATAGAGCATCAGTTTAAATCTCGTAAGATGACATGCAGAAATTCTAAAATTAAAAACATGAAACCGTAATTTATGAAATAAAGAACAATTATGATCTAAAGGGTATCAAAATTTACAAAAAAAAAGCTTAATATTTATTTGTTTACTTTATTGAACATTTCTTTCAATGTAAGTTATTTAAGTTGCTTCGTTTTATGTGATAATACTTTCTCTTTAATTCTATAAACAGACATAATTTCTTGTTCAGTTACAAAGTTCCGCTGTTCAAGTCCCGTAATTGCTTTGCCGAGAATACCGACTAACTTGTCAAACGAAATTTTTTCGTTTTCACTAACCTCTCTGTCACCTTCTTCATGTCTTTATCCATTTTTTGCAGCAATTCCACTTTTTGTTTGATGGACATCGAAACATACTTTCGTTTTGTAGATCCTTTGGGAGCTCCAGCATCGGAAATTCTATTTGACATAATCGAAAGTTCAAGTTTACTTTTATAAAATTGTTCTTACAGTCTGCAAAAATAATAAGCCGCATCCAATTCGAAGATTAAGGTACAACGCAATCATCAACATTAACTGAAATAGATAATTTTAGCTTATACCGTCTGTTATACATTAAACGCGCACATGAAAATGTATCCTGCACTTGCGCACACGCATCTGCACAATCGTAAAGGTCTTATGCGCACGCTAAACGCCTATGTGCATGCGCAGAAAGTTTTTAGTTTTGAGGTCCGGATTATAGATCATTCCGGATTATGGGTGTCCGAATTAACGACTTTTGACTGTATTACAATAATTTGTTTTCCAGTCTGATACCAACTTACTAGAATAATGATATCTTTCTCAGTCAATCTCTACTATCATCAGTCTCACCAACGGCCAAATGGTTAAGACCACTGAATACTGGTAGTTTGATCAGGGTTTGAAACCCAGCAAATGAGCTGGCTGCATGACTGCTTTTCATAGTTTTCCCCATGGGCAATATGAATATGAACCAGTTTCTCTCAGAAAGTCCTTCATGAAGGCATTTCCCTATTAATAGCCACTATTGTACTTTTCCTTACTCATATAGCTTAATGTAACCTCTACTGTCATCTCCTAGAGAACAGACCTCTTACTTTTTTTTTTTTTTTTTTGTTTGTTCTTGTTTAGTTTATTGGTTGCTTGTTGTTTTTTTTATTTTATTTTATTTTATTTTATTATCATAAACTTCAAACAGAAGTACTGAAATCCTTATCTCTAACATTTAAAATCAAGCCCAAGAATGTATGTATCTTTTATATACATTAAAAAGAATGTATATCTTATATATATGCGGCTTAAGAGTTTGCCGCCGATAGTTTATTGGTTGCTTGCATAACTGTAAATTGTTTTATTCTCCGTGCAGTGCAGAACTTGACAAATATTATGAGAAAGCTAAGACAGAAAAATTAAAAATACCAGAGCATGTGCATTTAACATTTAATAAATAAATTTAACATCTGCTTATTGCCGATAGTTTATTGGTTGCTTGCGTAACTGTAAATTGTTTTATTCCCCATGCAGTGCAGTGCATGACGAATATTATAAGAAAGCTAAGCCGGAAAAATTAAAATACAGTACTCGCCATTTCAATTGAGATGCAGACAATTTCCTGTAAAACTTGCCTTTGCTATGACCATCAATTAGTCTCAGGGCTAAACGCTTAAGCGTGTTGGCATTTTTTACCTGAGCCTGCATTTGGACACGGTCAATTTTATGTTGCCTGTTTATGAGTTCGTGAAAGAATGGACGTAAAATTAAAAATAATTGATGGTCCTCTGTAAGGCGAGCTTAAAAATGGTGGAAAGATATACAGAAGAAATGTTGTGTACAAAGAGATCTTTGACATGTGAACTAACATTTTATTATTTAAATCACCTTTATTTATTGAGCAAGCTATAGCTCTTAAGAAATGTACCACTAGTGGTTTCCTTCATTGCACTCTACTTTAAGCAATTAAGCAAGTAGAAGGGGGAAACCCGTGGGGCAGTAAGCGAAGGGGTGTCCTCGCTACCTGCCCTGGGTAATTTATTCTAAATTAGCAGACACCTTTGCACAAATCATTTTAATTACAATTTATAATTCTTAGAACAGCAGTCATTTCATATGACTGCTGGGCTTTCTAGTTTATATATATACAGATGACAATTTGTTACAAACACTCGGTTTCTTGTTCATAGGAATAGGTTCCATTCATAGCAATACTATTCAAAGATCTTTATTCTCTTATTGGAGTAAATGTTACAAATCATTGTTCCTTGCAGTACATACAAAATACTTTAAGGTCAACGCTTCTCTTATACCACAGAAGTACAATATGAAAAGGCAACTAGCATCTGTATTTCAGTGTTCACTGCAAGCTCTTGCAGGTACTCACCATTTACAATTGTCTTTAAGCCTAGAATAGTTCCCCAAGAACACCTCCCAAACATTAACTCCACAGCCATCATTAGAGCTTTGGCATATGCTGCTTTATCTGCTTGAAACATCTTGGAACTTTTCCATAATGTGATATAGCCAGATGAAATGCTATCACACACATTTAAACACACTCAAATTTTTTGTGATCTTATCACTTCAAATTTTATCTTATATATATTTTAAAACACTTTCAAGTATAAGGCAATGGGAAATAAAAATTGAGTAGAAAATTCAATTAGTGTACATAATGTAAAAGCAGGCTTTAGAATTATGCTCTTTAATTTCTGTGTTTCTTTTATTACTTTTTCCCAAGTAATTATTAACAGAGGTAACTCTTTATTAACTGAAAATTAATTATTAACAGAGGTAACTCTTTATTAACTGAAAATTAATTATTAACAGCAATAACCATTTTTATATAATCTCTGCCACAAATTTCTTTTCAACAGCTACTATGTCCTAATTCATTGCATTTCTAGCATATTCCTTTAGTTCACCAACTGGTCATTTCTCTTATATCCTTCTTGATCTCAGGAAGAGAAAAGCTCTTAAATCATTTGCTATCCCCAGCTGCTGCTATAGTCAGCTCTTTTAACATTGCTATCCCAATAGCCGCTAATTATGTTTTTGACAAATTCCATTTTAATACTACCCACTATCACGTTAGCTGCAGCAGTAGCATAAGATTTCCAAATTGCAGGTATGTCCTCTCAGGCAACCATGTCTATGAGCAGCTTTAGTTTGTACCCATTCTTCTCATAAGGTATTTAAACTTCCATTTTTGAAATCAACAATTGCATGTTAAGTGATTTGCATTTGATCTGAATAGATAATCAATTATAAGAAAACTGAGCTTTACAAAAACTCAGAAAGCTTGAATTGGTGAAAAGAAGTAAAAGACAACTTAATATTTATATACAATACACTATGAAGAAGATATTTCTGGAAACCCTTTGTCATACAGCAACAAATTCAGTTCTAAAATACAGACAGAATTACTACATGTACGGTAAGATTATAACATTTTAAAGCATACAACAAAAGTTGAACAATGCTGCACATCAAAAGCTGCACAGCAGTTTTAAATTCTTTCATTAGCTAAGGATTAAACACTCTGATTTACTCTAGTGATTGACAGAGTAACTAACTCTAACTGCATTCAGCTTTCTTCTTATGACATACTTTACACACAGGTGGAGATAGTAATTCTAAAATCTTTCCTGTATCTTTTCTTCTATTGATTTAAAACAAAAGAATATTCTTTTAGCTCTACCAGAAACAAACAGGTTCCAAAACCAAAGGTTAAGGGTTAAGATAACATGCAAAAGCAGCCAATTTCGGCAATATTTTCCCCAAATTATCCACTCCTCATGAAAAATGGAAAAATTTTTAAAGTAATATTTCTATTTCTATTTATAAGCTATAAAGGGATATGTATACAAAATCCATGCACACTAACATAATAAAACACATTTTACAAATAAATACACATTAAATATGCATAAATTACATGCAAAACATAAAAGTGTGTGTGTGTGTGTGTGATTATGGCAAAGCCTTGAGGGCTATCTGCCTAAGAGGAGGGATGCCTTCGTGGAGGACTTTCTAAGGGAAACTGGCTCGTATACACGTTACACATAGGGAAAAGCAAAACACAAAAGATATATATTTATAAATTTAATACAAATATTAATAAATATCAATTATTATTAACAAATTAATTAAATTTAATATTATTTATTAATATTAATCAGATATTTATACAGATTTACAATGATAATACATCTTCAACCAGAATTGTTAATTGATTGCTTTCAAATTGATCAAGTGGCATACATAGGCATACACTTAAAAACATTACAACCAAATTTCTATAACACATTGATAAAGCTCATATTAATCCAAAATCTATTCCTTTCAAAATAATGTAGGCTATACCACAGTGCTAAGTGAAATTGATTTTTGTTAACTCACCTTCCGTGCTTTCTTCTGATATGTTATTGCAGTGTTGATGTCAGAAAGACCTTTTGCAATATAATCAGTAGTATTTCGGACATTGTATTCAACTCTGTCAACTAGCTCACCCTAAAAGAAATTTATGGGAAAAAAATTTTTTTTTTTTACATTAGATTTTTTAAAAAATGTAATGCAATTAATTAAGAATTTTCTCCAAAAATTTAAAACCACATTTAGCATTTCGTGAGAAATCATAAAACAATTAAAGTTTTCATTACAATCTTTGGTACTTAAAGTTATACAGTACCTTCTCATACATTGCAAAAATATCATATATGACTAATTCTCGCAAACGTTCAGCACCTATATCAGTTTCTTTATTTAAGATGAGATATTTTTCTTTCTTTTTTCTTTCCTTGTTAATGTTCTCTCTCTTTCTTGGAAGGAAAGGTAACAATTTTTGGAAAGGGTTTAATTTTTTTTTAAACACTTTTTTTTTCAATGTCAGTTTTAAGCCTGAGACTGACAACCCCATGGAAAAAAATGGAATATGTGTGAAGACCATGAAAAATGGAGAAGCAGATGGTAATGTGGTACAGCTGTCTTCCTTCGTATTAAAACTTGTATGAGGCTGAGGCAAGCTGCAAAGAATAACAATCTGTTTGATGCCATTTTGAATGTAATTTCCAAATAATACCCATTAGAAATTAAAAGATACCAATAAATTAATTACAGTGTACAGGCAAGTACTAGATATCAACAAGAACCCAATATTTTAATATTTAATATTAGAATTTTCAGAACTAATGCTTTTTTACAAAATGAAAATCAGAGAGCAAATAATACAAATTCTTGCTTTTAAATACTTATTAGTATATTCTTCAATATAGAAATACAATATTTCAATACACACATGATCAGGATTAAGAGAATCAATACATTTTTTCAAAAACTACTTGGCAGAATTTAATGAGATTTGGTATGGATGCAGTGTAATATAATACAGCAGTTTAGACATATGTACATACAGCGAAACACTGCATACAATACATACTGTTCTTGTGTGAACGTACCCACTTGTGATCATAAGCAATATTTATGAAAGTAAGAATGTCTTAAAATTTTCAAGATAGAACTTAAACAAATTTTGTATGAGAGCAGATCTTAGTTCCTGGATGATTCTTGTAGGTAGCTGGAGAAGTGCAGTTGCACTCCCAAATGCATCCCAGACATGTTCAATCAAGTTCAAATCTAGAGATCTGGCTGACAAATCCATCTTCCAAATATTCTCACTTTTAAGATATTTGTCTACATAGTTGAGTCCTATGTAGACAAGTGTTGTCATCATGGGAAAAAAAATTACAGGTAAACTGTATCTCTGGTAAATAGCACACGTGGCTCTAAAATTTCATCTTTATAAATATGAGCAATCAAGGAGGCTCTATCAAACACAGAGGGGTATGAAACCATCCAGCTTGATGCCTGCCCGGACCATAGCTTTTCTTGCTTTTGCAAAAACTGTATAATGTACCATGTGTTTTTTTTTTGCAGATATAGGGATATCAAGAATCAGTATCTGTGCTGGCACATCCATGCAAATAAGTGAGATGCAAAGAGTGATCTTCTGGGTAAAGGCTCTCACTCATGAAACCTTTGGAAAACTTTGAAACTAGCTTTTCAGGAGCAACAGACATACCATGAGAAAGCAGCATGGCTGCTGTAATCCTTTGGCTTTAGCTTAAAGCAGAACTTTCCAACCTTTTTCACATCATGGTATACATAATAAACATAAATAATTTCAAAGTGCACTTTACAAGTACAAATAAAATCACAATACACCGTGAAGAGACATTTTTCTATTAATATGGTTAAATTCTTCTGTTTCATACTTAGGATTCAATTAAAAGATATTTCTTTCAAATATTTTTATATTAAAATGCATAAATATTCCCGCTAGAGTTTTGTTTCAAATTTCTAATTCAGTTATTAACACAAAATAAAGAAACAAATAGAATGAAATATCTTATACAACTATCTTTAGTGACTGATATTTGACACGGTTTCCATATTGCATCTATGAACTAAATAATCAGATTTGATTGAATCAGCCTGTGATTAAATTATTAGAACACTTATTTTTTTAAAAATAATAATGAGAAAATACAAAAGGAAAATTATGCAGAAGCTGTATAACTATGTATAAATGTACTACTGATACTAATGGCAAAATTAACATTTTAAGTATTAATACGAATATCTGTATTCTTCCCCCCCACACACACAATTAATACGTATATAAACTTCTTATTTTAATGAGAAACATAGGCTTATTTCTGTCAGCACACCTTTTGAGCTCTTTTAATTCTTGATAGTGAGCATAAAACAGAAATTTTGTTCACATATGCATATGACAAATGGCATAAGAATGTTTACAGCTTTTTTACCGATGCAAAGAAAATCTGTTTTTGCAATTATTGAGAACTTCGATAATGGAATATCCTTAAACTCTGCTTAACTCTTTCGTATCGAAGTCCCCCAAAATGCCCGACCATTCAGACATCGCCAGGTCCCCTGAATGCCTGAATTATTTTCTACCTGGTGCTTTCCCCCATCATTTTAGTGCAGGGCTCACTGCTTTTGGGTGTTGTTTAAATAACATGCCAATTATTCTTTTGAAGCAACTAAAAGTACTTCTATTATTTGATACACATTCCTTCTCCTTTGTTTAGCATCAATGAATAGTTATTGATGCCCAAAGTTGCAATCCTGTCCTAAGGGAAAACGGAACACAGTGGTGAAAGCACATGAACATCCCAAAAGAGAAGTTTTCACTTTACTTAAGTAGGTTATTGTTAGTGCTGTAGCATTCTACTTGGCATGGGGAGAAGAAATCCATTTCAACAAAAATATATACGCATGAGCATTTTAGCCTCTACTGATGTGAATGAGTTAAAGGGTTACAAACCAAACTTTAAGTCTAATAACTCCTCCCATGCTACATAAATGTAATGTGATCTAATAAAGATAAATGTAAATGGATTTCGAACCCAGTTGAATTTGTTTTCATTAATTCAAAGTAATGATAAAGCTTTCACTTCAGCATACTTTGGTGCTGATCTACAAGTTCTAATCACTTTTTTTTTTTTTTTTTTTTTTTTTTTTCAGGATTTGAACTACAATGCCATCTAAACAGCTCAAAGAAAACATTTTTCCTCATATATTTCATAATAAGAATTTTGTTTTGAATCCATTAATTTTGTCAGTGCAAGTTTCTATATTCTAAAGAGATCTTTGCATTTGTTGGATTAAGTTCATTTAGGTATTTAAATATGTCATCTCAGCAGCTACTTTTTGCAACCAGTAATCATCTTCCAAGCTAGATGCATACTAAGAGTTATCTTCAAAAAAAGTACTTTTAATTTTTTCTTCAACTCTTGGACTCTGAACAGAACTCCTACATGACAGCCAACAAACTTCAGTACCAGAACAACAAAGACTGAGACTGTGATTCCGTTTCTTCACATAAAACTGTAAAAAGATGCAATTGAACTGATCTATTTTTGATTATATTCACCATTTTTTATAATGCAATTAAATGTGGACTTTAATTCTTGAAATAAACTCTTTGGCTGGACAGCTTCTTTATTAGTAAAGGAGTTTATTATTTGAACATCAAGATTTTCAGATTGAGCTTCGGATGCCAAGCCTCTGACCCTTCCTGTTATTGTATTGTAACCACAGCATCAGTGCATAAACTTACGTACTTTTGCCATAAAATTTTGTTTGTAAGTATTTATTGATCACTTTCAGCTTGGTTCTCCATTACTTTGCATCATAATGAGGACTTTGCTGTTAATTTTTCAAAGTACACTTCAGTCTTTCAGCAAAAAAAGTACTGGCCTGAACTGCCAAATAACAATCTGCTGAATACCAATGGTGCTGAGGCTCTTGATGCTTTAGCCATGCATTTGAATATTGATTTCCTGAGCCTGTTTCCACAAATTGCAAACAATAGTAGACATTATATTGTGCTGTCCTACAAACTGAGCTCGAGAAAGGCCTGCTTTCAAACTACCAACAGTTTACCACTTCATTCTGTCATGTATATGTTGATGATTACTCAATGTAACACACTAATCATGAAAATTTAACTAAATTTTACAATAAATGATATATCTTAGATGTGCACAAAAAAGCATGAGCAGATCAATATATGACAATTGTTACACCAACCTCAGTTTTAGAACCATCTACATATATCAGTATGATTATGTTTTTCAACACTAATGTTATTGTACTATCACATGACTGCACAAATTCAAGTTTTAATTCAATATTTTTTGAGAAATTAAAATGAATATGTTAATTTCCTTAATTCTGAACATCAGCTTATATATCTACTGATCAATATTGCAAATAATAAAAGGCAGCTTGCAGTTTTTATTAAATTTTATCAAAAGTTGCAACACGTATTACAATAAATTTCACACACATCACCATTTAATGAATGTTATACATAGGGACAGTGCTAGACATTTTGCCAAGCGGTGCTATCTCTGGGGGAGAGGGAGTCTAAATCCTGTTGCAAGTATCTTCTTGAATTTAAAAATTTTGCTGTCTCTAAATTTTGTTGCCCAGTACTTTCCCTAAATTCTAAAAATTTTTACTGCTTGTTATTTTTCCAAAGTTTAAAAATTTTGCTGGCCCTAGATTCAACAAGTGCACAGCAATCACACTGGTAGCATTGATAAGCCGTTGCCCTTAGTTACATATCAATAGGTATATATTTATTAACTACAAATTATAAAAGCATTTTACTTTTTTCCCCTTTTACTTTTTCTTCCTTCATTCAGTACCTATCAGAGAAGGTACGCTGAGTCCTTATGCAATACTTGTTTACTGTATTAACTCTTTCGTATCGAAGTCGCCCCAAATGCCCGAGCATTCAGACATCGGCTGGACGCCCGAAATGCCTGAATAATTTCCTTCCTAGTGCTTTATCCCATCATGTTACTGCATTACTCATTGCTTTCAGGTGCTGTTAAATGACACAGCAATCATTTTTTTGAAGCTACTAAAAGTAGTTCTATTACTTTAATGCACCTTTTCTTTCCTTTGTTTACTGTCAGCTGTTTAGCTTTTGATGCCCGAAGTTGCAATCCCGTCCCAAGGGGGAACTTCACACAAGGTGAAAGCGTCCAAGAAAGAAGTTCTCGCTTTACTTAAGTAGGTTATTGTTAGCGCTGTAGTATTCAATTCGTCATGGGGAAAGGAAAAGCATTCCGGGAGAAATTCATAGACACGAGTGTTTTTGATGTTTGGGGAAAAGAGATTTTGCCCTCTCTCGATGCGAAAGAGTTAAGCTAGCACCCAATATATGCCTTTTTTTGAAATGCAAGTTAGATCTCAAATTAGTAAAACAGATTTATTTTGTAGAGGACTTGAAAAAAAGACATGGAAAATCATCACGAACAGGAAGCAAATACAGAATGTAACTATTGACACAAAGTGATTTTATTTGCTAACCACTACGGACTACTAGAACCATATTGATCTCATTAAAATGTGTAATACCTGACTTTCAACTATGATGGCCATGTCCAAAAACATATCATGAAGCTCTTTGATACTCTTCTCCAACTTCATGATATCAGCATAACGAGCTTCAATATCAGCCAATGACTGTTTAGCTTTCTGAGTTTCAATTATAAGCTGGAATGAAAACAGAAAGCTTCATTAATGCTTATATGAAATAAAAAATGCAATAAAAATAATAAGTCTGAAAATTTTGTAATTTTATACAGAACCTAACTGCTTAAAACGTTAATATCTGACTTTATCAAGGCAGATAGAGGGCCCATCAGTGGCTGAGTAGTAACACTGGTAGTTCCATCAGAGGTTCAAATCTTGAGAATGAGCTGGCTGTATGGACTTTTTCATGTTTTTCTCCTTGTGTAACATATATACGAGCCAGTTTCCCTTAGAAAGTCCTCCATGAAGGCATTCCCCCTTTAGGCAGACAGCCCTCAAGTGCTTTGCCATAATCAAATAAACTAAACCAAGACAGCTAAGTGACATATAACCCAGTTTTAATTTTTCAGTATAGTACTCAGAAGGAAGTTTAAACTTTTACACGCCAAACTATGATGCGAAAGTAAAATAAACATTTTGTTATGAAAAATCGATTTAAAACTCAAATATACGAATTATGAAAAAATTTTTTTTAATGATTTATAACATAAATGGAACATTGGCGGGAAACAGTTTTTTTACATGATTTTTGTAAAACATGATTATCGACATTCTAATTCGAAGCTTCATTTTTGTCTGCACTTTTTCAGCATTAGCAAGTGAATTTGTCAACGTTATTCGGAAGTAACGTAGATTAAGCAAAAACATAGGGAGCCTACACCTTTATAACTGCAAAGCTACTCCACCAAAATTTAATAGAAGATATGAAGCTTCCACAGAAAAAAGCTTTCGTAATAAATTAAAACAAAAATTACATAGTTGATAAGCAAGAATTTATAAAAGAATTTTACATTAATTGTTAGCAGTTTAAACTGAAACAAGGAAAAGAGTTGTAGAAATAAGTAACAAATAATCTTGTTCGTCACTTCGGTAATCGAAATTTCCTCTCTGCCATTTTGAAGCTTCCTTTGGAGATCTGAAAGGGCATCTTTCAGTCCGAAAATCTCAAATTGTGCCAGTTGCTTTAAAGTTCTTTTCAGATAAATCCGTGAAGAGTTTATGGGATGAAAAAAAAGTTATCAAAAAAAAAAAAAAAAAAAAAAAAAAAAAAATTGTGCTTACTTGGATTTTCAACACTTGATAAAAGTTCCCACACAACTCTAGATCCCAGAGGGGAGTTTTCTGTTACTGAACTTTTCCTGCTATAGATTTTCACTGCGTATGGATAGCCCTTATTGGAGCACAACATGCATATTTTATAACCAAACCGAATTGGTTTACCGTTTACCTTGGATGAACATTTTAGCTGAATGATGACCATAAAAGGGGACCATCGATTCATCTATACTCAATTTAGAATGGAAGATGCCGAGCTGTTGAAAGTGTTTTTTTTTTTTTTTTCCAGTTCTTCATAAAAAGGAGAAACTTTTCCTGTTTTATCTCCTAATGACAACTTGGTATTATCTATAATATTAAGATATTTTTTCAGTTTTCGAAATCTATTTTTTGGCATTACAGAAGAAACTATTGGGACAGATAAATCTTCTTGAGTGCTCCAGTATAAATCTTCACCGGGTACTCGATGTGTCCAATATCATTTTCATCTAGAGTTAAAACTTCTCCTTTCTGCATTGCATAAAGACCTGTCATATTTGCTAAATACAGTAAATATTCTCTAGTTAGGAACTTGTGAAAAATCTCAACTGGAGATAAAGTAACTAGTTCAGGAAACACTTCGCAAATATTTTCAATGCTGCCAGCTTTTAGAATTTTGTTAAAATTTAAATTTTTCCGCCACTGATGTTCAATTTTTTTCTCTGTCGCATTTAGTTTTCACTTCAAATTCTTCCTTCCCTTTGAAGATGAAGGTTCTTGAGGATCGAATGAAATTTGAGATATTTCATCATCATCTATTTTATTAGAAACTTTGATTTTTCCACATACATCCGCTGGCAGAACAGGCTCAAAAATATTTTCATTTACATCTTCTTCATCTGTCAAACATCCAGTTTCTTCTGGAGACAGTCGACAAATATCAATACACTCTTCATCATTTGATAATGTATAAAAATATTCCAATGCTTCTTCAATAGTCTGAAATGGTTTTGAATGAGCCATCTTATCAGCGTATCATATCTTCACGAACTGAAAAAATGCAAACAATGGGAAAATAATGAAATCCACACTCCAAAATATATGCCTTTTTCACTGAGTCATAAACAACCTCTAGCATCTAGCCTATTAAGAAATGCCACACACTTTTCTCTAGCAGCTGTGAGTAATTCACTTCAAATCCTTATGGGAATGTGTGAAAGGAGAGGAGGGGGATATATGGGAGTCGAAAATAGAGTAACAGTCATAAACACCCGTTTCCCCCCTCACACACACACACTTATTGGAACTTTTCACATTTGGAAAATCTTTCGCTGTGCCTCTATGCATGGCAATCAAAGTAATTTCATCATGTTAAAAAATATACCTTTACATGCCAATGTTCCCTTTCTAGAATATGCACATTTCTTACCCCTCATAGTAAAAAATAATAATCATCTTTCTATGATAATATACTGTCTATACATCAAATGATACTTTTAAAATATCTTCATTAAGTTTTAAAAACATTTGTTGAATTTTTAATTTCATATGAATTTCTGAATTTTGCTCTTAGAAAAGAAGGAAAAAAGGTGAAATAATGAATTTTTTTATCAAGATAATTTTTCTTTTAGAAGAATTATATTTCTACTAAAACATCAATCCATATTTACTCTCCATGTAATTATTTATAAAAGCAATATTAATAAAATTGTGTTTTAATGAAATTTTTAATTTAATGTTCCGTTTATGGAACATTGGCATGTAAAAGGTTAAAAGGAACCTTTTTATTCAGCCTAACAATTCACACAGCTCTTATAATAACAGAAAGAATCCAATGTTTGCAGGATTAATAAAACACAAAATTTAAAGTAAAATTTCTTAAATATTCAAAATATGGGATTTATACAACAAACATCTGCCTACAAATTTCGGTTCAGGCCTTCAACTCATCCAAGTAAACATGCTAGCAAAGACTAAAGCTAATTCAAGAAAATTTCGAAGTCAGGAAAAAATGACACTGAAACTGTCAGCAGTCACTGAAACTAAAACTATTTAAATAAATAAATACAATATAATCTATTGAACACAAATTAGAATTTCCACTAGTTAAATAACATTTTTTTAACAATAAAAAATCTGATCATAATGTAATCAGATTTTAACAAATATCCATCCACTGTATTTGCATATTGGTAAAATATCCAGAATGGACTTATTCTATAACAGAAAAAATACTCATATAGTAATGATAGATACATAATTAATAAAATACCCATGAAAATTCTGGTTTTGTAAATAGTAAAAGTATCCCAAATGTAACCCAGCAAACTTACCCCTTGGGTAAAGACTTCTGGATTTCCATTTTCCAACATTTCTTCAATTTCATCATCAGTTTTTACATTACCAGCTAAGTATTTGGAAAACAAAATTATTAAAGGGATAAAATAAAAACAAACAAACAACAAAAAAAGAAAAATCTCAATTTAAATTTGATGCCAGAAAAGACCATTTTAAATATGAAAAACAATATATTTATATCAAATAAACTCAACTGACATCATTAACAATCATACATTATAATTATACTACTGAATCATCATTTAATTTCACATGCACTGGATACCTAGCCTGTTGACTGATGAGATTTAAAATCCTTACTATGCTACTAATTATAAAATGACATAAGTTTATCATACATCAAATATGGAATAATAAAAACATTTATTACTTATGTTTTGGAATAGATATAAATTATAATTTTGTAATGAATATTTAGCTTATAAGAATATTAAAGAATTTGTAATATAATCCTTTCCTGTCTGTTTTAATTTTTGGAAGAGAAAGGAGAAGACGATGTGCAATTATTAACTTATCAACTAATTATCCTTTAAAATATACTTCTAAATAACTTTATATTTTATCAGAGTCCCATAAATACTTGAAACTTAAGGCATATATTCAATCAAGACTACATATACAAATTATTTGTGATGCCAGATAATCTGTGTTTAAGGCACAAAAGTGATTTCTGAGCTTTCCTTCTAAAACAAAAGTCACTTACATAACAATAGCTTTATATTTCATAATGTGAAAAATCTTCAGAATTATGTAATTCACTGGGGTTGTCCACTAACAAAATAATTATATTTATAAACTCTGATAGTCTTTTATCATGATCAGTACTCTGAGATGAAGTGAGTTAGTTATGCATGTCCCTCTGAAGAGTATCCTACATACATCAATGAAGCTGTATCTGTGGAATGCAAAGGATTAAAATCTTCCTTTTAAAATCAAGATAAAAATTATACAAATATTATAAGAAATTAAAAGAATGATTAATTTTAATTTTTATGAAAAATTTGACTATTCTGGCATTCTTGGAATGTAAATTTAATACTCCAAAATTTTAGAAACGTATTATATTGAATTGGCTTGATTCAAGATGAATTCTAGACATTGAAATACTTTCTAAAACTTGAACTAACAAATCTCTCACACTAGTAAAAAAAAAAAAAAAAAAACTGCAGTGTAACATTTGTATAACATATAGAATATAAAATTGTATGTGCTAAATTTCTGCAAAAAAATTTTATTTTTAAATGTATCAGTTATGCTTTATACAGCTTTAAAAGTCAAAAATAAATTTTAACTTGACCTTAATTAAGGTGACCAAATTTTGAAGTTCGAAATTCGAGATGCTATATACTATATAATTTTTTAAATAATTTTTTTATTAATAAAATAGTTTATTATTATTGTGGTGGAGGTGGTACGTAGGTCAATATATATCTAAATCAAAATAAATAATTTTTGTTTGTTTTTTTTTAAGTGATATATAATATTTTTAATAAATAAAGAATAAATCAAAATGCAGTATTCATTTTTAAACAAAGTAATAAATCTGTAACCCTTCTAAATTATTTTGATGAAGTAACCTCTGCATGAATATTTCTTAGAACATATTTTTCTTTTTTGATCTTATAAAATTCCATGCAATTTTCATTAGAATTCAATTTGGTTATTAACATAGTCTTCAAAGTGTCTACTTTAAGCTGTGTTTCATCACTAGCCTAAAAACTATTCATAATGTTAAATACTCTCTCAGTTGCAGTATTAGTGCCAGGAAGACAGAAGAAAAACTCTGCAATTTTAATATACTTGAAAATGGATCTGATTCTCGTTAAAATATTATTTCCATTCACCTCTGAAGTGGGAGCATCTTATTTTTTTACCACTCCAATATTTTTTCTTCCGTGATTTACAGGGTGAATCTGAAAAAGTGGGCAAAACTTTAGGGAGTGATAGAACACAACTATACTAGCAATATTCGAGATGGAATGTATGGTCGCAGAGCAAGCAATGAGAAGCTAAAAGGTAGTTTTTCACTGTCACATTTAAAGAATTAGCACAAGACTAAGAGGAGATATTTTGGAAAGAATTTTATTAACAGGAATGTAATTTATGTACATGCTCAAAAGACATTCTGCTGGCTGTAATGCAGCCCTCACACCTACTCGACAGGGACTGACGCACATTTGCAAAGACACCAGGTATTTCCTGAGTATCTCCAGCCACAACAGCAATCCTGGCAACTAGATCCACATTGGTTCCAACTGCACAATAGTAGATTAGGATTTTCATATGGCTCCACAGGAAAAAGTCCAAACATGAGAGATCCGATCTTGGTGCCCAAGCTATGGGACCACTTTGACCAACCCATTGTTGACGAAATTTCATGATTCGTATAACCAGCCATTTTCTAGGCACAATAGAAAATGCCATTGGGTGTGAGCATCAACCCTTTTTATACCATTTACAGTGTGACCTACAGACTCACCTTTTGCGATCTGCCCAGAATTTTTATGATGGATAGATACTGCTTGTACAGCTGCATTCTATCACCCCGTAAAGTTTTGCCCACCTTTTTCAGATTTACCCTGTATTGTTTAAGGTCAACATATTCCTCATACCATATCAATTTCCAATAATTTATGATTTGGTATCATTTTACTTTTTTTGTCAATTTCACCAAATAAGTAACAGCAGTCTGAAAAAATGAAATACAGTCAAAAGTCTTTAATCTGGATTCGTCGGGACTTCGGCGATTCCGGATTATTGATTTTTCCGGATTTTTCCGAAATTTACAAAAAAAGAAGCTTAATATTTATTTGTTTACTTTATTAAACATTTCTTTCAACGGGCGATTGCATAAAGCATACCTTACGCATAGCCGAAATTAGAAAATTGCAACCAGAAAACTATTTGATTTGTATTCGTGATATTTATAATGACGAGGAATTTGATTTAAATCATATCAAAGACGGAGTAAATGAGATTAAATACTACATTTAGTAAGGAATTATAAGCCGAATAAAATAAAATCATCTGCCCTGAAGATAACGATAGTGCTGTGATAGTGATCATCAGTTTAAATCTGGCAAGATGGCATGCAGAAATTATAAAATTAAAAATATGAAACCGTAATTTATAAAATAATGAGCAATTATGATCTAAAGGGTATCAAAAATTTACAAAAAAAGAAGCTTAAATATTTATTTGTTTACTTTATTAAACATTTCTTTCAACGGGCGATTGCTAAAGCATACCTTACGCATAGCCGAAATTAGAAAATTGCAACCAGAAAAACTATTTGATTTGTATTCGTGATATTTATAATGACGAGGATTTGATTTAAAATCATATCAAAGACGAAGTAAATGAGATTAAATACTACATTTAGTAAGGAATTATAAGCCGAATAAAATAAAATCATCTGCCCTGAAGATAACGATAGTGCTGACAGAACAACTTCCAGTTCATTGCGCGCCACGACATCCCCCCCCCCCCGCGCGCAGAGCAGCGTGAAATTGATAAACAGATTTTGGAATGGTTAGATAAACAAAGGATATGCCTTTATCCATTTTTTGTAACAATTCACTTTTTGTTTGATGGACATCGAAACATACTTTCGTTTTCTAGATCCTTTGGGAGCTCCAGCATCGGAAATTCTATTTGACATAATCGAAAGTTCAAGCTTACTTTTATAAAATTGCTCTTACAGTCTGTAAAAAATAATAAGCCGGATCCAATTCGAAGATTAGGAACAACGCAATCATCAACATTAACTGAAATAGATAATTAGATAATTTTAGCTTATACCGTCCATTATAAATTAAACGCGCACGCGAAAACGTATTCTGCGCTTGCGCAGATGCATATGTGCAGTCATAAATGTCTTGCGCGCACGCGTAAAACGCCTGTGCGCATGCGTCAACGCGGCGCATGCGCAGAAAGATTTTAGCTTTGAGGTCCGGATTATTGATCATTCCGGATTATGGGTGTCCGAATTAACGACTTTTGACTGTAATAGCTTCTCGAAACTCAGTAACTTCATATTGTAAAAGTCTTCATTCTCTTCAAGATTTTTTTTTTAAACATTTATTGGAATATCCTCATCTTCCTCATTCAAGCTTTCGGAGCAACCATTGAAGCAATTACATCAAATACAGATGCAGTGTGATTTTCAGTTGTTTTAATAACTTTATGAAATATTGAAGCCTGAGTGTTAATAAAATGTAGCCAAGCTTCTGTCACTGGATTTTTAAAGAATTTAAAAATAAGCATGGGGCACTTCTTTTGAAATTGAAAACAAGCTTTCAGTGGTAAAAAAAATTGGAGTACCCTTTCAATGACCGAAGGTAACGCTAACCATCTTGTTTGTTAATATAGTATCATTGAAAAATCAGTTTCTACGAAGTTGCAGAATTTTCAGTGTTTCCCACAATATAATATTTAAAGTATATCTTAAAAATAATCATCTCTATATCAACTGATAAAACATCAGCTGATGTTCTTATAGTGTTATAGATAATATGCGCTACACATTGATCTCCAATTAAACAATAGTTAAGATTTCATTTAAATTTAACAAAAACATTATTTTCTCCATGTCTATCAGCTCCTCCAAAGTTAGAATTCGTATTATCAGCACAAAACCAATAACTTTATCTTTTAAATTATTTTCTTCAAGACAAGTAGTTAAATAGTTGCTGATAATATTGGATGTTTCACCAGGTAAGGATCTTAAAATTTTTACTCTAAATCCATAACTCAAATCTATAAGTCTAACAAGTATTAGAAAAAGTTTTATTTCTTTGGGATTGGAAACATCAGTTAAGATTGAAACAAATGAACCTTTTTCCAAATTATTGTGCAAAGCTCTTAAAGTGTAAGGGATGAAAACATTTAGTAGTATTGCTTCAACCTTGGATTGCACACATGTAAATTTAGGCTGAAATGCCACTTAAAGGAGCTTGGACATACTATCCATAGACAGCTATGGTTGTGGCAAACAGTATGGTATGGAGAAAAGTACCTTCTACTGCAGCTAATTCTTCTTCCTTATCT